CAGCTTCTGTCACGCGTCTCGGGCCGGGGCTCTCGCCCCCGCGCCCGAGCGCGTCCTGCGGTCATCTCGTGCAGCCGGGCATCTTCTGGGGAGGTTCGGCGTTGGGGCGCTGCCTCCCTCTCCCGGTCTTCGGCGCTGGCGTCGGCCGGTAGGTCAGGGTGTGGGGAGTTCCTCGGGGCGTCATTGTTAAAAGTATATGCTTTTGTGTGAGTGTTTGTCTGTTTTGGCAGGTCACTGCGTGGTGTGGCTCTCTGACTCTCACAGTTTAAAATTTTGGCTCTTTTTGTCGAACTTGTTAGCCACCCCTGGGCTAGAGACTCCGTCCAGTATAAAAGTATTTATTAAAAGGAAAATATAACCAAAAGGTTCAAGTAGGGGAAAGAACAAATATACAGAGCACAAACAAAACAAAGAAACCTTATCTTATTAACTACATACATACATAACCTTGAGCTCAGAGCTCACTGCAGCACTAATAGGCTTGGGTTCTTGCCAGGAACAGCTTCTCCTCTTTTCTCTGGTATGGTCCCAGTCCCAGGTTACCATGCACTCGCTTGAAAGGGTGGTGGAATCCTCTTGCATAAATCCCGGCCTTCTCCCAGCATAACTTGAACTGATGCACCAATATCTGACACAGCCTCCGGCCTTCCTTTAGCCTCCCTGGCTCTTTTGTTGGATCTGAGCTATTCCCCTTAAATAGTAGCTCAGGTGTCAGACAATTAGAGGTAATTGCTACCCAACACGTGGTGACTCTAGATCATGAGCTATCAAGATCTTGGCTAGTCACAGTTAAAGTTGACAGTTCACAGCTGCATGGAATGTTACAACTGATTATAGGTCACAGGTGTTTGCTGTCCATAGTTAACCTATTTCATACAGGTGGTTCTGCTACAACTTACTGCTGCCTTATTCATGCTAACACGTACACACGTATAGGCCTGTTACATGACACAGCACAAGAATCTTCTCTGTGTGAACTGTGGCGGCTGTTTTATGGTTGGCTTTGCCTCTGGCGGCAGTTCTTTTGTGGCGGCCGTTTTGTGGCTGCACCCACCATGTCATGTCACGGTGGGGAGAGGACCCCTAACCTAGCCTATGCCATAATATCTCTGTTGCAGCTGTATGATGCAGGGCAGTTACTAAAAAGAGACACGCCTTCCCTGAGCTTATATCGTGGCTGCAAATTCCAGGATCCTGAGCCCGGAGTCCAGGGCGAAGGGACCATCCCGGGCATCTGCCAACAATTCTGTTCCTTGGACAAGCCTTGAAGCTGCATCAGCAGAATGGGTCTAAGCATCTTTCAGTACAAACCCACAAGGTTTCCCTCTTAGAGATGTTCTCATCTGGGAAGACTCTAATAATTCTTTGCTTTGATGTGTTTTTCTACAGGTTGGCTGGTTCCCAGCAAATTATGTGGAGGAGGATTATTCGGAGTATTGTTGAGGACACAGCCCACATTGAAAATTCTGATGCCTCCTGGAACAGCCAACAGAATCAGTTTCTCTTTACCTCCAGGAGTCATTTGTGTGCAGAGACTACTGTTATTTATGAACTATCTTCCACCCCCGCTCCGCCTCTTCATCGTTTTTCTCTCATTCCTTATGTCAAATAAATGGAGTGGAATAAGAGCATGCCTGTGAATCCATCTCTGTCCAGTCCATCCCAAACAGCAAACTTCACCTTTATGGGGAGGTCAAAACCAGGGGTCATTTCCTGCGGGCGCGCACAGGAGCGGAGCTCCGGCAGTAAAGAGCCCAGGGGGCGGGCACATGCAACAAGCCCCGCCCCCTGCTCCCAGCAGCCCTCAGTCGGAGCAAGAAGCAGCCAGGTAAGTTGCAGAGCCCCCACCCCACCCCCCGGTCCAAAACAGTCCAGTGTTTTTAAGACCACGTTCTGTTCAGGTACAAGCTCTCCCTCCTCTGCCAGGACAGATCTGCGTGTCTCCCCCACCCCCCGATAGCTAGCAATCCAAAACAGTCCAGTGGAGCCAGAGCGGTGGGTGTTGCCTTCTGACACACTTCCGGTGATGTCAGGGGGTGTGGCATATGCTAATGAGTTATGCTAATGACCTCCTGCACCTCTTTTTCTACGAAATGACCCCTGGTCAAAACTATACTTATAAAACAAAAAGACTACAGAAAATTGACGATTGCTCATTGTTGCTTGGTCCAGGGCTTGCTTCCATGCCAGGGTGATTTCCCGTGGCGGTCTGGCTGCTGAGGCGATTCAGTGTGCAATTGTCATCGCAAGTGAGATTCCAGATAGCTTAGGGTAATGTGTCTTCTCTCCGTTTTTAGCTGTGGTTTTCCTTTCACACCGTATGTGCACCGAAGCCCCCCCCCCCCGTGTTCTCACATGACCCTCAGGATTCTCTATTTTAACATTTGTTAATGTTGAGGAGTGGTTAATACAGCACTGCATAGGAAGAACAAAATACTTTAAAAAAAAAACCCACTCCACATATTTGTGGCCACTTCTAACAATCCACTCTGCCCTTCCTAAAAGGCTAAGTTGTGGGTGAGTCTGTTTCCCACCCCCCAATTAAATTTTTATTTTAAAACACCAATACATACATATTATTACCATATTCAACAAAAACATTTTCCTTCTTGCTTTAACAATAAAATAACAAGTTGGATGAGTTACATTGTTTTACTTTACAACAAATCCTATATTTGCCTCGTACCTATATACCAGGGGTGGCTAACAAGTTCGACAAAAAGAGCCAAAATTTTAAACTGTGAGAGTCAGAGAGCCACACCACGCAGTGACCTGCCAAAACAGACAAACACTCACACAAAAGCATATACTTTTAACAATGACGCCCCGAGGAACTCCCCACACCCTGACCTACCGGACGACGCCAGCGCCGAAGACCGGGAGAGGGAGGCAGCGCCCCAACGCCGAACCTCCCCAGAAGATGCCCGGCTGCACGAGATGACCGCAGGACGCGCTCGGGCGCGGGGGCGAGAGCCCCGGCCCGAGACGCGTGACAGAAGCTGCGACAGGGGAGCAGGGGGAGCGTGCCAGAGGTCGTGCGGGAGTGTCGGCAGAGGGGCGCTCGGGGTGACGTCAACCCCGCCCCCTGCCATTCTGAGGTCCTTTTCTACCCCGTCTTTTCCAAACCCTCGCCTCCAGAGCCACGCCGCTCCTCACGGGGCCCACTCACGTTGTGCCACAACGGCCACTGGGGCGCCACCCCCAAGACCAAGGAGGAACGCGACAGAGCCACAATATACAAAATGATGATAAGAGGCAAAGAGCCGCATTAATTTTGGCCGGGAGCCGCATGCGGCTCTAGAGCCACGTGTTCGCCACCCCTGCTATATACTATAGAGTGGGTACTGTGTAACTATTTTTAACTTCTTTTAAAATAGAAAAGCCAACCTTATAACAACCTCCAATAACCCATGTAATATAACACTAAACAATATGCATAAGAGAAGAGAAAACTTTCACAACATTGAAGAAGATAGACAAAGACAAGAACAAGATTCTATGAAATTCACGAACTATTGTTGTTATATCCATTTCTGGTATTGAGACCATTTGGGTGAAATGAACTGAGTCTGTTTTTTAAAAATCTCTACAAGCATGAGTAATGCTGGATAGGAATAACACAATACCTTCAACAACCTTTTCTTTAAAAAAACCTTCTCATATTTGCAGAGCCTCTGATGATGCCCTCCCCTCTGTCTAAAAGGAAGGTGATTCTCTCCTGTTATGCTAATTCATAGAGTCATAGAATGTTAGAGTTGGAAGGGACCTTGCAGGTCATCTAGTCCAACCCCCTGCACTCTGCAGGAGCAGAGCCGAAAGACGGCCCTACAACATACCTGAAAGAGGGTCGTCCAGCCTCCGCTTGAAAACGTCCAGCGAAGGAGCCTCCACCACATTCCCGATGCAGACTGTTCTACTGCTCAACCACTCTTACAGTTAGGAAGTTTCTCCTGATTTTTAGCCGGTAATGACTCCCTTGTAATTCCCACCCATTAGATCTCGTCTTTCAATCGGAGCAAAAGAGAATAGATCTGCTCCATCTTCTACATGACAGCCCTTCAAATACTTGAAGACTGCAATCATGTCCCCTCTAAGCCTTCTCTTTCCCAGGCTAAACAGACCCAACTCTTTCAGCCTT